AAAAAGAGTTGATCATTTATTGAAAGATCTGCAGTAGTTTCTGATTTTGAAATATCTGCCTTGATTTCGTATTGAGTTTTAATGTTTTGGATGGTTTCTTTAACTAAAGAGATATAAACAGGGTCTTTCAGTAGTGAGGAATTGAATTTCCAGAAACCTTTACCCCTTTCTGGAAGATTGTTCTCGATGGTTAGCAATGTTAAACAATGATCAGATCTATAGCTCGGTGAAATACGACAACTCCGTGTTAAATTAATAAAGTCCTCTGTTCCAAGAATGAAATCAAGTCTTGCCATTTGACGTGGTTTTTTCCTTACCCAAGTGAATTTTTTCTCCTCAGGATTTAATTCCCTCCAAATATCATATAGTTCTAATTGTTCACATAGCTCTAGAACCTTTTTTCTTGAATTTGGATTGTTGATATGTTTATAGTTCAAGGTATCGAGATCAGTATCTAAAACTAGATTCCAATCTCCCATCAAGAGCATAGAGGCATTTTCAATAGTTTCTAGTTTGCTTTTCAGTTCTGAATAGAAGGAAGGTGAATCAGTATTGGGTCCATATAATGAAACTAGTGAAAATCTCCTACCCTCTATCTCAATGTCTAGTATAACAAAATTTCCCTTTACATCAATATCTGTACTGTAAATTTTATAGTCTAGATTTTCCCTTATAAAGATGCCTACGCCTCTACTGTTGGTTTTATAGGAACTAATAAAAGCCTTGTTTCCCCAGTCCTTTTCAAAAGCTGTTTCAGTTTCCTTAGAAGAGTGGATGTCTTGCAAGCATATAATATCCATTTGTTTTTGTTTCAAGTAATTGAAGACATCTACTCTTTTTGTTGGGTCACAAAGGCCTTGACAGTTCACACTACAAAATTTTATCTTACCCCTTGTCTATGTAGTAAACGCTGCACACACAATGCAAATGTAACTGCTTTCCAGTGTTCATTGAAATTTCATTCCTCCAACACATCCCCTTATAGTATACCCCTTTCCCTATTTTCACTGATACAAGAAAAGAAAAAGTCCTTTATTTGCATCCTTTGTGCATTTTACTACAAGACTAGTATTTAAAATAAAAATCACCTTGTTAGGTAACATAAATTACCAGAATAATTCATGTATTTCAGAAACATAATTTTCAAAATCATATTCTGAACACATTTCCAAACATTTTTTAGAAGAAACAGAACTTAAGGTAGTTGAACATTCGGTAATGTTATAAAATAATTGTTTATGCTTAATTATCCATGGTAAATCTTAATTTAAAATGAGAGAGCATGACTCTTTCTTCTAACTATGAGTGCAGATCCAGTTGTGAACCATAAATTCCACAATATGAAAGATTTTATGTCATATTTTCTGAAATCTCATATTGCCAGTAGTCTATTTGATGTATTTTCTGCTTATTGTGCAACTACCTTAAAGAAAGCTAGCGCTAATTTCATTGGCCGATCGGTTGACCATCTCAGGGCAGCAATATCCCTTCATAAGTAATGTGCATGTAAACAGGCAGTGCAAGTTTTAACTGCAAAGCTATTGAAATGAGCTATATGAATGATCTAATGTTGAGATTGTTACATTCTAGAAAATATTTTTCAACTATTTCTCCAGTACACTGGATGTATTACAAGCAAATTACAAACTAAAAGGAATATGTATTTTGTAAACAATAGTCTTCAGCAAGAGTCCTTTATCACTATCTGCTAGGTTTCTGATTAGCTAATGATATTGCTCTCTTTTTTAACATTACCAGGCCACTGTAGCTCCATTTGTCCCTTTGAATATATGTATTTCATAATAAACAAGAAATATTCAATTGTTTGATTGAAAAAGGGACTGTTTCTAAGCTATCCAAGAGATAATTCTACTCAGTCTAACAAGTAGTTTTTGCTGATAAATACAAAGAATAAATGTTTCGTCTGGTACAACTTACTTCATATTGTCTCTTACGCGCTGGATTATTTGTCCCCCAGCATTCTTTCCACTCCACTCCTCAGGTTTTCCTGCTTTGATATCAGTTATTTTGCACCCATTGCCATATACGAGATCATATGGGTTGCATTCACCAATTATAGTTGAACCATTTGTGGCTTCAAGGGCTACTCTCAGATGTGGGTTCTGGTTGAACTTGAGGGTTGCCCCTCTTTCCTGGACACTATCTTCTTTCATTCCCCATAGGGCTTGTGAGAAACCTTGCACATTTTTGCCAATTCTGTCGCACACTGCTGGGTTTTGACAATTCATGATTCTGTGAGCAGAATCTACATCTTGAAATTCAATGGCTTGTTGATATGCAACATACTGGGACACTGAGTTAAAGATTTTGCCCTTTTCTGTAAACGAGCATGGATATCCCTTTCCGAGTGGGGATGTGGCACTGTTGAATAGTATTATATCTCCTACTCTCCGGATAGATGTAAGATATGGGTTTATATTTTCAGGTAGGAGGTGTAGGTCTTGAACTTTGTATCTTTTGCCCTCAATTACTAAGGTGTCAGCGATCAGGGACGCTTTAATGTTAGGTTGTTCCTTTGCTAATTTCAGAACTGGGAGCAAGATCTTACGATTTCGTTCTACCTGAGCGGGAAAGCTTTCTTCTATATAACAGCCTTGATGGTCCTTGAGTTTATATCTATTGTTCCAAACACTTTCACGATCTTTATACCAGTTGAATTTTGCTGTGATCATTCTGTTATACTTATATTTACTTTTAGGACCTAGGGGTATCCTATGTACCCTTTCAAATTTAATGCTTTCCGAATCTAAGCCTAGTTTATCCCTTATGAAAGTTTTTATCAAATTTTCACAGTTCTCACCTTCAGCTTCAGGGATTCCTTTGAAGTGGAGACTACTTCGCCTCGAATAGACGTCCATTTCCAATTGTTTGTCTTCAAGTTTGATCATAGCCGATTTCAATTGACTTTCTGTGTTTGCCAATTGTTCATTTGTCAACGTTAGCCTGGCTTCAATGTTTCGAATGTCATTTTTACATGTCTTTATTGCATTTGCATTCTCAGTGGAAATAGCACTTACATTTTCCAAAGCTTTCGCAACTTCTCCTAATTCGACTTTCAACGAATCTCTAACTGCATTGTTGACCGTCTCTATTATGCTGGCATTTTGTTTTTGCACATATTGATCCAATATGTCCTCCATTTCGTCTTTCGAAAATCCATGTGTTTTCTTTGGTGGCATGGTTTATGCTCTTTAGACAGCGCAGGCTTGTTTGAAAGTTCACTTGTTCCAAAAACGGTATGTTTACTGGGTTCTCCCCAGAATCTAATTGCATGGCGCTCCCCCCTGCTCACTCGTTTTCCCCGCCCTGTTCCCCCCCCCTGCTTGCTTAGCCCGCCCTGCTAAGCGCCCCGCTACTTCAAAACTTACGTACATTATTTTATTCTCCTGGATATTCGACGAAATCACATAAAATTCAAAAAGTTTTCAAAAAGTTTTTCCCGATTTGCCATTCCGAAGGCCGAATCTTAAATGTCTTCTGATTGGCTCAAAACTCATGATTAGTTACGAAATATCCAATCAAATTATCTATTACTAATCGTGCGTCATCGACATAATCTGCCCCAGGTTCGGTTCGATCACTTGATTTGACTACGTATGCGCATGCGCCCAAAACATTCTAACCTATCAAAATCGTTCATTTGATGCGTGCGTTCAGAAAATTAGAAAAAGTTAACAGTTGAACCTGGCGCAGATTACCCCTATACTGCAACGCGGAATGATATGATCACCGATCATCAAAATCGCCAATTTGGAATAAAACAAACATAAAAACGACTAAAACTACAATTTGACAATGAAGTATTATTTTTAGTTATTATAATTGCGAACGAATTAATGTTCAAATCATGCTTTTGATGGTTGTCATGATAAAGAAGTTCGACTTCCGGTTCTTTATGCGGGAAATTCAAAAAAAAATGGGTAAAATTAAAAAGACTTATCTAAAGAATAGAATGAAAGTAGAAACAGTGGACAGGGTCCTCAACATTATCATAAATGGACCAAGGGAAGAGGTGTTCGATTTTGAGGCAGCATGGGGGAGGTGGTTTGACATGCACCCCAGAAGATGTAGGGACAGAAGACTTCAAGGAAACACAATGAACAATGAATAGTCATGACACTACAAGCATATTATCATGTATTGTTAAATAAAAGGTTTTCTAATTGAGAATTGGTGTTTATATAGCGAGCGAAGCGAGCGGCAAAAATTGGCACAAAAATCATGCGAGCGAAGCGAGCGGCGAAACTTGTTAAAAAATCCCCCCCTGCTATGAAAAAATCCTGGGGAGATCACTGGTTTATATATAATATTTATCCATATAACGTGTATAATTATCTCCTAGATATGCACAATTTGGACTTTTCCCGGAACGAGCAAATTTATTTTCCACCCTCCATCTTGTATCACGTGATTTGATTTAAGTTTTCAGGAAACACATCTGCCGTGAGGAAACATATTGAAAGGTCTTACCCAACCAGACCCAGTTTAAAAAGAAATCCCTCCCATCTAATACGGGGCAAGCGACTTGTTGATAGCCATCTCCAAATAGTTCAATTCTAGTTATTTAATTCCATAAAAATTCAATGATTATCAGCTATCATCATTCCATATTGATCATTTATAAGATTGAAAATAAAATTATATCCCCTAATAATACAAAATAAAAGTGAAACACCTTTTTATCTTGCCATATTTGTGGCACCAATTGCAATTTATGAGGCCCACCTTATTAAGTATATGATTGAAGAACCGACCGAACCGAGAGACAAGAACCGAGAATCGTACCGAACCGAACCGTGACCGACCCTTCTCTAGTTAATACAGACACTGGACGTTGATTCCAATCCTTAACCTAACCTATGGCCTTCCGCTATGGTTAAAATCAATTCCAATCTTTAACCTAGTATCTATGGCCCTCACATCTTATTCCAGTTCTTGCCCTTACCTATATATGGCCCCATCACTACTCCTGCACTTACCTGTCAGAGTCATTAAACAAGAAATGATCCTCTGTAAGTTTCTTTTGGTCCTCGGGTGACATACCCTCTAGTGGGTAGTACTTGCCCTTGTGCTCTCCCTCGAATGTATCAAATGCCTCCACCATCTTACACTTCATCTCCTCACGTGCCTTTGAGTGGGAGAAAATATAGTTAGGTCAATTAAGGGGTATAAAGGATAGAATATATTTTCCCATACTTCCATAACAAGATAAGACATATAGAAACTAGGACTAATTTTAACAAGTTGAAGCAAATGAAAAATTTGCTTTTCATTATCAACACATTTGTATTTTCACAACATTTCAATAATTTGTGTCAATTTAGGGTGGTGTGCTTAATGATCCCCGCTGACTGAGATTGGCTGCTGTTTTGATTTGTTGTGATTTGTTTTGATTTATTCTTGGTGATTTTTGATCTTTATGAAGTTTTCACCCTTATTGCCATTATTCACCTCAATTTATAATTTTTGTTTGAAATTGTTGATATTAACATACCTCTGTTTTGATAGTGGGTGGGAAAGCGTATCCCTCACATGATCTCCCTACACGTACACGAGTGGAAACAACATATTTGTTGTCAGGGTCTAGATCAGTGAAACCAAGATCATCCGTATTTCCAAACTGTCCAGCCTCAGGATGGGCAATAGACTTGCATTTGTGATAGTCCATAATGATGGGGTCAAATGCCTCTTTGAAGGTCTCATAAGCCTCAGGGTCACAGGCATAGATGCCAGTGCCAGAGTCCAGATTCTCAACACCTGGAAGAATACAGCAAAATGAAGTTTGACAAACATATTGGAAGTAAACATATCTTTAAGTACAGTGGACTTACTTACATGTTACAGTTAAGTAAAGGGTACACCACTGGCTCCTGCAGGTTCTAAGCATTTTTCTCCTGACCAAAATAATTTTTGGATACATGCAGTATCTTTTCTCTTTAACAAAACCCACTCATCATTTCTCTATTTATTTCTCTGCTAGTAAAAGCCACTGTCTTATCCCCAGACCACATTTCCATGAAAAATGACAGTCGCAAGTATTCTTATTCTTTTCCTCTCGAGGCCATTGTTCAGATTGTCCTAACATTAAGAATTACCTTGATACTCAAGGAATAACAACTATTCTATTTCATTAATAAATAGCCAGAGCAATGGTTCCATACCTGATCTCATGCAGTCAGCAATAGTGCCTCCAAGAGCAGTCTTGCGGTCTTTCACTTTGTCATACACAGCCTGTGTGAGATATGTCTTCAGCAGAGACTTAGAACTGGAGTCAACCAAGATTTTGATCATATCATCACCAGAGAGTGAACACTGAAATTGAAATACATACAAATGTTCACATGTTGCACACTTTATTTCATTTATACACGCCTAACCATCGACAAGGTACAGTCACGTGACAGGTGACAAAATATGCCGTAGTACACTTTTGATGTACTATGTCACTATTAACTGATTTTGAGCGAAGACCATGATGTAGGTTCGATGCAGGTTTTCAAAAATAAATTTTAGGAGAACACAAAGGATTTTATGTTTGATTTCGCGTGCATTCGATTTCGAAGACATTTATTTTTCTAATAACGTTAAAAGATCTTCGAGCAGTGCTCGATTTTTTTCGTTGTTAGTCTACCCATACGATTCTTCGGTTGGAAAAATGTTGTTTTTTACACATTTCCTTTGATAATTTTCTCCCATTACGTCTAAGAGTGTCGAATATTTTTATGAGAATGTGTTTCTCTAAACTACACAGTTTAGGACAGGTGAACATTTAATAAACATTCATGCATTTGATATAATTTAAAAAATCAGAAATGTCGTTGTCAACTCACAGTGTATGTTGTCCCTGTAATTGAAATACATGAGTTATAATATTAAACATTGCAATGATTTAATTTCAAAATGCATTAAGGGTTTTATGCGTTACAAGTGATGTTCAACGAACTTGCTCCTGTATCCCTAGTACAGATAAACAGGTAAAAGGGATTTTTTCGTTGAATGCTATTTTATTTTATGAAAGTATTAATATGGTGACTAATATGTGACCACGGCGTGTTTTCTTCCGACCTCTTTAACCACTCGACGTTGGTACGTTACGTTATGTTTAGTTGCACTTTTATGAATTTTAATAATCTTAAGGAGTTCATGGAGAGATCTTTACTAGCTAATCCAAGATGACTTTATGCTACAGGGTGTCCCGAAATTATGGGCCCCCATAGGCAGACATATACCAATGACTCCATGTATGTGTCGTATATCATTTTAAAGCTCATCCAAAGTTACATTAATTTGCCGAGTATCATGGTTCAACTCACAAATGGAAAAAGTTACAGGAATTTCAAAAGTTAGTGTTTGGACAAAATTAAAGTCAGTTTTACACCAAAACAATAGTCGGTGTGTCTCCTTAGCCGCCATGTTAACAGCAGCAATACTTTCCATATATGATCTTAAACTGGCTTCAAATAGGGATATGGCGTTTTGTAATCTTCATAAAACCTTTTTAAGGCATAAGAAGAGTTTCCTTGGAGTATCTACCCTAAACGTCATCTTTTTAGAACTCGATATCCATATATTATCTTCGAGAATAGCATCCATATTTTCTGTCACATTCAGGTCAGGGCTGTTTCCAGGATACTGAAATGGACTTTTTGGCAAAACGCTACTTTTTGAAATGCCTGTTACTTTTTACCATTTGAACCATCATATTTGGCAAATCAATGTAACTTTGGATAAGCTTAAATATGATATATGACACATACTATGGAGAAATTGGTATATGTCTGCCTAGGGGGGAAAGTGCAGAAGTTCAAAAGCCAGGGTTATGGAATACTAAAAAATTATTAGTAACATTGAAATTTAATCATATCAATGACAATTTTATTGATTAACGGACAAAATATTAGAGTAAATTTTTCGATATGCCAGCCCTATTATTATAAATCATTACTTTATTATCAAATATGTTCCTTCTATTACACGTACATTATAGCATTTCATTCATGTAAAATTAACTGTGAATTGAGATATGTAAGGCCAATGTGACAACATACATTCGAGTTGACAACATACATTATCTGTTTTTCGTAGTAGCATCCAAAGTAAAAAGCGGTTTTTCATTAACTCTGGATGTATATTTGTATACTTATCTTAAGTTGTGTTAGTCGTAGTTTGGCTGTTATTTGCATAGCAAAACAAAAATTAGAGAGAATTTTGCGAAATTCAGTCAAGATTTAGAGATCCCTGACGTACTGGGTAGATCTATAACAAGATATTGAAGTTGCTGAGGATCATTTGAAATAGATATGCATATTTGCAACTTAATTACAAATCGAATGCAACAACTGCCTGATAATGAACTGACACAATATTGATCAAATCAATGCTAGTTCTTACCTCGCTTCCTCATTCTAGAAAATGGCGATATAAAATGGCGGAAATGACATAGTACATCAAAAGTGTACTACGGCATATTTTGTCACTGTCACGTGACTGTACCTTGTCGATGGTTAGGCGTGTTATAAGGGGGTACAATTAGAATCATGAAGTTAGAAATTTATATTGTTCAAACCTAAATGGAATGGGCTCAGTCCCAAACTTTAAGATACACCAAACAACAACTTGTACCATCATTAGACTTTGATACAATATGTGCATACAACTTAAGCAAAGAAAGGTTTGCTCGAAAAATGTGAATTACGCGTCTTTTCAATGTATACGAAATGCACCTTTTATAATAGCACCCCACTGCTGGTATTTACAGAAAATAAGGTTTGCTGCAAAGTCAACAGTAAAAAGTTATCATAATCGGGGTTAGAAACTGAGCCCTTACTTAAAAGCATGTTTAGGTAAATAAAGTAAGAGGGTATTTTTAACTAATAAGAACTAATAATTATTCTGAATTGGCTGTGAATTGACTTCATTGAGTCACCGTGATTAGGCCTATATACAAAATAGAGAAAGTCAGATATGCACTAAGCATCAGTGTTAAAATAACAGTCATTATCATCAATGTTTGTTAATTTGCATCTAATACATTAGCTATACCACAATACAGCTATTTGGACGTAGCATTTATAGAGAAAATCGTTAATATTGTGTATCTTAGTGAAAATACAACAATTATACATCATATATAATAAGATCTAATCTAATAATACATGTAATATACTTATTCAGTTCTAGTACAAATTCAGTGCCTCTAAAGTGTAAACAATTTACATGTGCCTTTAACTTAAAGTAAAACCTGTCTAAAGTGAACGCTATTGGCTGGGAATGAGATTTCCTCTAGACAAAATATCTACCAGACAGACAAACAAAACTAATTTTTCTAAATCAACTAGCATCAGTACTCGCACCACTGAAGAGAACATGTCTGTCATCTCAGCAATACTTTGCTTGCTGAGATTGTTAAAACTACCAATGACACATAGATCAAGGAGGTAGAACCAAAAATAAGCGTTCACTTTAGACAGGTGTTAAATTTACAGGTTTTACTGTTGTACAGAACTACAAGTCTAATATTTCATGGCATATAACAAGATGATTAGAAGACTACCATCCTCCTTACCAGGTGTACAGAATCCTTCTTCCCCCTGCTATAACCAATTTAGAAGCGCCCGATTAAACTGAATCATGTGATCTAATTATGCGCAATGACTTATACATGATATCTGTCGCAGAATCAGATTGTGAGTTCTTAATCGGGGAAATGCTAACTGCTTATCGCAGGGGGTAAAAAGAAAGAATATATTCTGGATTTTGAAGCCCTGTGATCGGAGGATGAAGACTACAGATGTTTAAGTAGTAGTTAGGCATATATAGGTTTGTATACAAAGACTTAAACATTTTATGGATTAGAGGGATAATCCTATTAGGCTATCAAAGCCATTGGTACAATTTCAAGGTAACTGAGACCTCTTATGAAGGAAACATAAAATAGAGGCTTGGATGAGATTAGAAATCATGCGGATAAAGAGAATGAAAAAATGTTGCAGGTTCTTCTAAAAAACATCATTTTTTCTTTTGTTCTCCTTGATAGAGTCAGGGGATCTATTTATGAAACAGGAAAATACTATTGATGAAATATATAAAGGTTGTTCACTGTTAAATATCAGATTTAACTCATGAAGAACTTATAAATATATCCATCTAAAATATTGAAGATATTATGAGAAAAATTAATGCATTGGTAGAATTAGTTGATTGTGTATAAATAGAAACAGTCAAGTATTTTTAAAATATTTAATAAGTAAGGTTACCTTCTCTCATTTTTTAATAATATACTTATTTTGTTGTGTATTTCTTAAAAATTACTAGGTATATTTCAGCCAATTAAATTAAGTATTACTTCGAATGAGAGAAAAGTGAAATGATTCAAATGATATCATATTGCAGAATTTTGCCTGTTATTTGCTGAAACTGCATATACGATATCATCTGATTCAATAAAACATTTCTATACGACAGCATACAATAAAATGTTAAAACCAATCACCTATAGGATTCCAACAATATGTCTTAAGTTGCTCTCTTGTGGCATCACTGGATATGGAGCCACAGTAATATCAGGGATTTATTTGTAGATAAAAGTATTGGTTAAATCTTAATATGGTGAGTGATTTTAAGACAGTCAAACACAGTACAGTTCAAGTAAAAGACAACACATAAATAAGGATATAAATAATTAGTTAGTTTGGGGTGGGGCATGATGGTCACCTGTTCCCCACCAGCCTCCTCATCTGCTGGTTTTGCAGGCTCTTCTGCTGCTGGTTCATCTACTTTCTCTTCTGTAGCTTCAGTTGCTACTACAGCAGCTTCTGCTGCAGGTGCAGCTTCCTCGGGTTCAGCAGTTCCTTCACTAGAGGCCTGTTGGTTAGCATTTGTGGTGATAAATAATTGCCATCAGTTGTACAAGCATGCTTCATGACAAACACATATTGGGAATGGTAGTGATATCATTTTTATCCCGCTTGACAAAATAATTTACCCTAAAATTTCTGTAAATTTTGACAAGCAAGCGATAGGTTATATGCATCATGTGATAGGCATTATCTGTAGTGATACACGCATTTTCTTTTTAAAAGGTATTACATTGGATATACATACCATGAGTTCTTTCTCCCATGCAATGAGATCTCTGACACCATCAGCCATGATTTTAACAGCGTCAAACTCCGTCATGCCCATACGTCCCTTGTTAGATATGTCATACACACCTCCAACACTCTCTGTATGTTCTCCATGGATACCTGTCAAAGGAATAAAATAATTATGTTACCATAATGAACAGGCAGCCTTACCTGTAATTTTTACCCAAATCTGTATTTCAATTGCTTTTCTGTTGTTTTATTTGCTAGATGATGCTATTTCTATGACTGATCCAATGATTTTCACAATGTTTTTGTCAAATTTGTCTCATTTTTCATCTCAAACTGCAGAGAAATCCAACATACCTATCTTGAATTTGCTTGTTATGGTCTCACTTGTAAATCATAACTTAAACTTGCAGAAACTGGGGTGAGTGTTTAAGAGGTAACATATATCCAGTTACATTTCAAATCTCAATTTGAAATACCCCCGAGAATATATCATATTTCTATCGGAATAAATGAAATATGTGAGAATCTCAGTTTATTCAAGACCAAATTTATTTATACTTCATTAAAACATAAAGGAGGATCAGCTGGACATTATTTACCTTAGTCTAATGATGACCGTGCTACATGTGGTTAAGCCCAAGGGTTTCATAAGTGACAGGCAAAAAAACAAGTTTCTCTAGTTGGCAACCGTTTTCATAATTTTCATGTAATGTCAAAATTTCAATTTCTTATATTATTTTGCTTGTTGTTTTCATGTCAGCCAGACTGGCAGGTGTTTCCTAAGGAATCAGTTTTTACATACCTCTTGGTTGCAAGAACCTCTTCTCACAGAATTCCTTGAAGTCTGCATGCTTACTGGCCAGAGGGATCTTAACATGCACACTGGCACGTAGGGTGGTGCCAATGTTTGTGGGGCAGAATGTAAGGTAACCATGGCGATCTGTGCGTGCAAACTCAATACCTCCATTATCTTGGATGTGGTTTACAGCCTGTAATAAAATTGTATTTTGTGCTAGAATTGTAAAATAAATTGTAATTCATCCAACATTAAACAACTGCATCAGTTTTCATTGAAAACAATATCTTCATTAAGGAAATCCACAAGCAAATCTCTCCATATTCTCTGTTTAGAATGAATAATTGTTAGTAGGCCAGAGGCCTTTATTACTGCAGGTCAACTTACCTTAATCAGTCTGGCAAAGACTTCATCAATATTTCCTCCCTTCTGCATTGAAATGATTCTGATGTGATCCTCCTCGTTCAACCAGACCAGGAATGTCTTGCTGTCATTGTGGAAAATTCCACGACTCTCTGGCCAGGCTTTGTATCCTCCAGCAGACTCGAGGAACCTGGAATACAGAAACACGGCCACATTAATATGGTATACATTTAAATAAGCATATATATTACCAAAGGATGAGTCTGGATTTATGCCCTTTTGGCCCCTCAGTTAAATGTATGTGAAATATGAATTTTATAACTGTCCTAATTATATTTGTTAAGTATATTTACTTTTTCAAGAGTTTTGATGCATAATTAACCCCCTGCTGAGAGTCAAAATGAGTGTTCTAACAGAAAACAAATACCGAATTTTCTCGCATATATGCTTGTTTCAACATTAAGTCCAAGGTTGTAGGTGACATTTCCTTTATAATTCTTACAAAACATGTGGTAGGACTACAACAGTAGGTACGGTAGTCCATTGTATTCATCAGCTCTTCTAACCTTTACGCCCACTGGGCCAAAAATCGAAAGTAGTGCACTTATACGCCCATGGGCGAAAAATAAGAGGTAAAATAACAGACGAAATTACCCCTTCTTTCAGTTATACGCCCAGGGCTTATATGCGAGAAAATCCGGTAATCATTATCATAGAAAAAACACCAATTGCAACATGTATGACATTTAAAATAGAAAATTCTTAAAAGACCCATGAAGAATTTTTTTTAAATCATATTTTTTAAATAAATTTTATGATTTAATTTTTTCAAATTTTTGAATTTCCCGCCAGTTTAATTTGAAGTGGGAAAAGCAAGATGGCTGCAATTTTGTATAAGAAATATCAGAAAAAAGTAGCTTCACTTTTAATTTTCACAATGAGCACAGTTTTCTGGTTTGGGTTTTTTGACTGATTCTGACTCTTCATCACCAGGGTCATGAATAGAGATTATAAAATTTAAACCAAAATGTTGTGCTCAGCATGAATTTGACTGAAATATGTATAATTTCACCAACACAATTGAAGTGTCAAAACTGGATGCTCAGTAACTTTGAGTGACTATAATCCCCTGATTACTCAGATAAACACCAATTCACTTATCAAGAAATACCAATCAATGTCTTTACAAAGAAAGTAAGCACTGTTTTGGAGGATATGCATCAAACTTATTGTATAAATTATTCATTTAGTATTTGCACTTGAATTTTTTTTCAATAGTGGCATAGTCATATGCATTCTCTTTGATGCCAATATTCTTCATTAATTATGATACAAATTGATATTTTTGTGCTCTCAGAAGAAGGATAAGATATTGAAGTTTAATACTATGTGTGATTGAGTTGTTTTTGCAGACATTACAATTTTCAATATTTTCTAAGTCGATATCCAGACTCATTCCCAGACTCATCCTTTGGCCTGCATAACATATATTATAGGAGGCCAATAATGTAATTTTTACATTTGCCTCACTTGTATTGTAAAGTGTTAGGACAATTTGGGAAAGAATTAAAACATTGACTTAGATATATTGCAATATTGGGACATTATAATGAGCTTGGACAATTTCTTCTCTGCTAGTAACATAGTGCTGGATTTCAAATCTACTTGCTTGTACTCTCACTTGTTTTTCATCCATCTCTACACACTGGTACTTGTTATTTCTCATATTACACTACCATACAGTGAATGATTATGCACTCTTAATTAATACCCCTACCTATTAGGAGTCAATTTTCTTGCAAAATATGTCATCAAGACCATATGTTCCCATCTCCTAAGCTTAATTATCTTATAATACAATAGGCCTACACACATGAGGTACATTGGTCAATCTACACTGTAATTATATGGGGAATCGATAAATAAGAAAACTTTGATTTCAGGCTTGAAATTTGATTTATACCAAGAAGTCATTAAACTGATCAACATTGGTTTTATCTAGAAAGCTTTTTATTTTCCTGGCAGCTGAGCATACCTTGTACTGAAAATAATAGATGCTAGATTTTGCTTTGGTTCAATGATTACAAAATACACATGAGTTCAACTAACCTGTCATCATTCTTGAAAAGGAAATGGTCATCGATTAGAGTCTGGTTCTCTTCTGGAGTCATCTTGGTGAGTGAGTAGTATTTGCCAGCCAGCTCACCAGGCATTGTATTCAGAGCTTCACAAACTCTAGTCTCAACCTCCTGCCTTTGCTGAAAACATTAAGAACACAAAGCATGAAGATCCGGGACTTCATGATGACGATTGACGATGATGAAAATATCTTGTTAAAGAGATATAAAAGCAGTATCAAATCGACAAATTTACAATGCCCTTTCCCTCTTTATTCCCTCTAAGATTTTATCATATTACCTCATTTGTAATGCATGGTGGGAAAGGAATTCCTTTGACAGAGCGACCAACACGGATTCTGGTTGACACAACAAACTGGTTGTCTGGATCAGCATCTCCAATTCCAAGATTTTCAGGATCACCAAAGTTGGACTGGGGGTGAGCAACTTCCTCCTTGCGATGATAATCCTTGATCAAGGGATCGAAGACTGCAGCGAATGTCTCATAAGCTTCGGGGTCGGATGCATATATTCCACAGCCACTGTCCAAGTTATCTACTCCTACAATCAAACATTTGAAAATAAACAAGTGATTCTAGTGAACAAGTGAACTGTACAAGCAGATGCAATGAAAAGACTACTGTAACTTCAGTAGGTACCCTCCAGAACCACCGCCCAACCAAAGTATGCAGTGATCAGTCCAGCGTTGGAGCTATCATTAGGCTCAGCATCAGCACCCTTTCAAAATTTAGAAAATTAGATGTCATCCTGTTGAAAGTTACTGTTGAAATTAGCATCCTGTCAAAAGAACGAATTATCAAGGGTGTTTTGGGCAAAACTTATAAAATCAGGATATTGCACCCTTATAGACTAAGATATTTTGGAACCAATAAAATATGAATATGCAAAATACACTATTACACTATTTAATTTGGCAGCTCTTTATTACCTTGAATTTGGTGATTTTTAGATATAGATTTTAAATATTTATTTGAGTATGGAGAAACACATTAGACATATTGGAGAGAGCAGTACCAAACAACTGCGCAAAGCCTTTTTTGGATTTTAAGTCAAACTCTCCAAAGGCACTGTTCTACAACTAGTTACTTTGACGGAACACAAAATGGATGAACTTCCTGGATACAAGTTTTTTTTTCTCGATTTAATCTTACGTATAAGTCATCTTGCAGATTATTATTTGGCACAAAGTTAGACAATATAGTCTAGCTTTTAGAAATGCTCTCGGTTTGGAATGTCATTTTTAAATAAAGCTGTAATTCATGCATTTAGACCATCGGTTTTGTTACATTGACGTAAGTCGTCAAAGTAACATACATTAGTAATATAAAGTAACTAGTTGTGGAACAGTGCAAGTGTAGTGAGGAGATGCAATGAAGGAAAATGTAACTACATGTATCAACATTTTGTAACTGTGTATCTCAAAAGTCCTTCCTTATGGAGCTTTTTTGTCAAAATGAAGCAATGATTGAACCTGCCGTTTACTCTAATACATGTATTACTTCACAAAAGTCAACCTAACCTTATTTATTCTTTTCTCTCCAAACACCATTAAAGGTATATTTATATTTTTCATATTACAAGTCAATATATCTGAAAGGTTAACATACATTAAGTTAAGTAATTCCTATACATCTATTATTAGTTAAAGCTGCTGATATCAGATTAGTTCTATTTCAAGGCAAATACAAAGCAGGCAGCGAGCCACAGCATCTTGAATCGTCAATCATGACTTACTATTGATTTCAACATCTACTGAATATGTGTATGCACTCCTGATGTATTTACTGGTGAATTATCTTTATTCAATATCTTGTAGTTTAATCAAGATGATTAACTCAGACTAGCCAGCTTTACACCTTAAAGAGAGCAATATAAGTAAATTTTATCTTATGATCATTTGGAGTAACAATCTCAGTAGTATGAACCAGACTTTATTACAAGGGAAACACTTAAATGATCTTGCAGGGCTACACACCCAATATTAACGATTTTCCTTCTTCCAACTCTTGATATGCTACTTATGCTCATCCCAATTTCAAGAAACGCAATAGATGTGCTTTAGGAAAAGCTGATAATATTAGAGAGTTACTGTTTAAGAATTCCAACACTATATCTATTGGAACCTACATGTATTTAAGAAGAACTGTACACATTGTGTAATTTGAAACATCTCCAACTAAGAACAAGCTGATTTATACTATTGGTACAGTTTCAATTCTGAGTAAGAGCTAAAAAGATACATGATAAATCTTATAATTCACTGTGATACAAACTTATCCATATCTATTTATGATTTAGAATTCTCTACATCAAGTTGTAAATTTCAATATAAGGACAATATTCTGATAGAAAAATTGGTTTCTAAAAAGGAAACTCACAATGACATGAAGTATATTGAGGCTATTGTTTAATGCATATCAAAATCCTAAGCATGGTACAGACTCGGTGATCTCCCCAGGATTTCTTTTTCTCAGGTGGGTGCAAAATTCTCATTTTCACAATTGAGACCAAAATTGGTCAAAATTTTCTCATTTTCAAGTGGGTGCATTGGGATTTTCAGGTCGGTGCAAGCCTATTGTCAAAATCTCAGGTGGGTGCTGCGCCCACTTGCTTAAATGCCGGGGAGATCACTGTGACTTGTAGGTTAATTTAGAAGGATGCTGTATTATTTTTCTTAAATAGACAGTGATTTAATGGCATTCTAAGTGAATCAATGTAAAGGGAACTCAAGCATATGTTCCCTTTCAGTACCTCTGAAGAATGAATAATACATTCCATAGAGCATATCCCTTACTACTTATGTCAATATTAGTGGAATAACAGGAAATAATCAAGTAATATTATTTTTATGGATATCATTAAAAACCATGATATCATAGTTTTCACACATATTGGTACATCATCATTATTAGTATGAGGCAGTATTACTTCTGGGACTATGGACTATGGACTATTTCACCAATACAACTCGCACTTGTGAAGAGGTGTCTAGATGGGGGAGGGGGTGACAAGGGCTTGTTGCTAGACAAAGTATTAGTAGACACACATATTTGAAAATTATGAACCCACTAAGGATTGGTGACACATTTGGTTCGGGTGTTTTTCCTTAAGAGCCAGTGAGATAATATTCAAAATTTGGCAGATAACAACACATGTGATGCATTCTAACATAAGAAAACTCCAGCAATGATATTTAATGATCTTAGAGCAAATAACAGAGATTAAGAGAATCTGGCAATTTGACTAATTAGAAAAGTTGCACTAAGGTTATTCAAAAATTATAATGCAAAAAACAAAAGCTGCCAAAAAAGCATTATTTAACATTAAACTGTAACGAGAAGGGAATTATAAAATATAAGCGTAAAAAGTCACGGACATCTAATACGTTCTTCGAACTGCCCTGGAACTATATCTATACCAGGACTGGCATCCAGATCCAAGTATTTTTCAAGACCGCCGACTCTCGTTGGGCTATTTATCCCTATTGACTCAGTTGTTCATATAAATTTACGTACCTTAGATGCTTTGTAATCGACGTAGATAGAAAATATTGTTTCCTGAATTGTTCTGAAAAGCGATAATTATTACTAAATGTAGGTCGACTGACAAAAAAGTCGGACTTAATTCTGGGACAAGGTCACGTGACCAAATAGAATTTGTATAGATAAAATTAATGACGTCACCGCCATCGGTGTAGGTCAGGTCAAAAGTCAACCATCTTGCCATTTGCCCCGCATATTCTTACCAGTCGACAAAAAACGATGAAATCACGTTAAAAATAAAATATACACTTTAAAATTGAGGCTGATTGAATATGACAAGACTCCATTGAATACAGCTGTGCAATTTACAGTCACCAAGATGAGCTAATTTTGGAGAGATTCGGTGAGATTCGGGAATTAAAAAAGGTAAGCCCTTCCGGTTTCCCAACTTCAAGTATTTGAAATCCCAGAATTTTGCCAGAAACATTCTCTCTGACTGTGTAAAAAGTGTCAAAAACTTGATTTGATACTTTTAGGAACTGCAAAATTGAATCTATGAACGTGCATGGCCTATAGATATACATGATATACTTCATCTGAAGTTCAATTTTTCGCTAAACAAACAATATTTAATGAATTATGTCAATGGTTAAGGGATTGAAATTTGAGTTAATGAGCTACTAATTCAGCAATAGATAGGAGAGCCATACAATGAATATACTTCTGCCATTAATTACGTGCTAGCCTGCCTTATGTTATATAGTCCTTCTAAGAGAAAATCAATAGTCTTTTAGTGATAGTTCAGAATGACTACAAAATTACCTCCCATGCTGAAGAGCTCTTAATTGAGGTACAGATTTTGGTACATCGGTGTGCTTTCCCATTAGAATAATTGAAGGGTCTGAATTTGAATATATAGAACCTGTATATTATATCTGAACACCTCCTATTCTGAACACTTTTTTGCTCCTATTTTTCCTCCCATTGACTCCCATGTTAAAAAAACTTGAAATGTGAACACCTTTCAATTTGAACATTGAACAATCATCTTTGAAAAATAACCTGTCTAATCTGAACACTTTTCATAAAATTTCACATGTTTCATACAAAATTGCTCAAATATTGTTATGATATCAGGTTTTACTGTACATGTAATATTTTAATTTATTTGATAATCTTCTTAATAATGTAATTGTGTCAATCTGCCTCCTAATTTTTAAAATCCATTTTTGTTTCATTATTTGGATCTCAAATAAACAAATCACTCAACCTCATTCAGGAATTCATACAGGAAACATCCACACTCATAAAACACTTTTATGTAAGGCCTAACTACATTTTGAAGTTTTACTTTACTCTACTTGAAGTTTTACAATATCAAGTTTACAGTAGACATGTCTCAATATGGTACATGTCGTGATGTATGGACTAGTATATTGTCACGTACATGTATATAATATTACATGTTTGCCTATGAACTTACAAGTTACCAAGTACAACACATTTACCTGATATACATACATGTACATGTATGATCCAATTCACATTAATTGCCACTGGTTAAGAGTTAGCTTATAATATATATATTGATAACATTTCAACATATCTTTTCAAAATATAGTATCTGCACTGAGAGCTGTCTAATTTTAGGGATTCTATTTTAGGTAGAAGTAGACATTAGTTAGATAAAACATATAACGGCCAATTTTAAATTTAGGCCTGATATAACTACCATAAAAGTTGAAGCATCAGGGTAGCACCATGGCAATTCTAAATGGCCTGTAAAAGAGCAATGTTCATTTCTCTTTAAACATCAGTTATATTTGACCTTATGCCAACCTTCAGTAACCATAGATATATGCAACACTAGCTTTCCTCATTTTATATTTTATTCGCTATGTCTATGTGCATGATGTGATTCAGAATTTCAATGTTTAGGAATCATAATATTTACTCAGTGTGTATTAGTATCTACAACAGCTTTAACACTACCCTTGAAACAAGGCACATGAATACATTAGATTTAAATAAGTGTCCCTAAATTCCAATATACTACCA